TTCTGTGCAGCCTTCACCACTCTCTGCAAAGCTTTTCTTTCTGCAGCTGTGCAGCCTCCATGCCACACGTTGATGCTGGAGCACAGGATGCTCTCCACTGCACACCTGTAGAAGGAGGTGAGGACTGAGCTCCCAAGTCCCTAAAACCACATTGTTAACTCCTAAGCTGTCATCAGGCCATAAACACTCAGAAAACACATTTGACTGAAATAAACATGTCAAGCAAAATCTAAAAACAAAAGACGAGAATTCTAAGGAGATGATGTTGGATTTCATCCTGCCAACTTCTCATGAACAGAGAAGAGGTGGAGCGGGTCCCCACATTTAAGCTCTTAGGAATTGTTATTTGCAAGACTTCTTGTGGACTGCTCACCACAGACTCATGTTCGGGCTGCTGTTGTTACGCTGTATTGTTTCTCATTATTAGTGTTTAGCGTATATCTTAGGTCTTTAGCGTACCATTTGGCGTTCGTTTAGTTTATATTTTAGATCATTGTATACGGTTTCTTTTTACAATGCATTTTTGCTATTGTTGGGTGTAACTGGGACCCTGAGTTCATAATTTCGTTCCACGTCATGTACCACATGTAATGAAATGACAATAAAATTGACTTGAACTTAACACTACATTATTAGCTAAAAAGTCCCAGCAGTAACTGTACTTTTTAAAACGGCTCTACGAGTTCAATTGGAGGAGGAATCTGGTGGTGACAACATTCCACCAACTTAGTGTGCTGCCTCGTATCGTCATGGTGCAGTTCGCAGACTGCTTGGCTGTAAACCAGGGAGCCCTGCAGAGTCACAATGAAAGCAGGGAAAATTGTGTCTGTTTTTTGTCCTCTCTGGGGGACAGGGGCTGCTCCAGGTGTCTCAGCAAGTCCAGGAACATTAGAGAACAGCCAGCACAGCATGTTCACAGTCTGTTTGCTCTCCTGCCCTCTGGGAGGTGATACAGGAGCAGGACAAGATCAAGAAATAGTTTATTTCCTTGGGCCAACAGATTACAAAATGCAAAGTTGTTTTAACATTAAAAATAATAATAATCAATATCAACATTGTGCAATGCATTTACATTTAGTTTTATTATATTTAAGTTATATTATTCTCTGCAATAACTTTAATTACCTTGCAGCTTTTATTTCTACTTTTCTTATTTAGTATCTCATATGTGGTGTGTTTTGTAGTATGTATTATGTGTCCAGTCAATATATATTTTATGATGCTCATGTCTGTCTGGGTTCTGGCTTTAGGTTCAGAAACTGAACTGGACAACATAAAAATTGATTAAGAAACAAGTTAAGACTAGATATCTAGTATGCCATGCACATGTGTCACAACTGTACACCTGCTCAGTTTCAAACAACTGTATCTGCATCATGTAAAGGTTGTCATTTAGGGCAAGAGTTATCGACCCCAAAAACAGCTGAATGTTTGATGAATGCAGGTTTTTTAAAACTCTGATACTGATGATGATGAGCAGCACAGTGGTGCAGTTGGTAAAGCTGCTGCCTCTCAGCGAGCAGGTTGCCCTGGTCCAAATTCCGAATGGGGACGTTTCTGGGAGGAGTTTGCATGTTCTCTCTGTGCTGCGTGGGTTTTCTCCAGGTACTCCAGTTTCCTCCCACTGACCAAAAACATTCATGTTACACTGACTGGTAACTCTAAATCGTCTCTAGGTGTGAGTGAGAGAGTGAATGGTTGTTTGTCTCATTTGTCTCCATGTGAAAACTCCTAGTCCACACCCACCTGCTGTGTGGACCCCACCCAGTCTGTTATAAATTGCATCTGGACCGGAGCTCGACTCCCAAAGGCTTACTCTTGTTCTTCAGCCATTTGAGAGCCAGTGAGGCCCAGTTTTTAAAGGGCTACGCTTACACTCAGAGAATCTGGGGTTACAATACGTGACCAGCATTCTATTTCGTGTAAGCTACACCCTTTAAAAGCTGTCGCTATTGGGTTTAAAGGGCGGAGCAGGATATGGTCCATGCCTCACTGGGTCTGTCCGAGAACCATCAAAAACACCCTGATATCCACCTAAACCTCATTCTTTATTCAAGCGTAATTACGCACCATTGATCCATGTACCTGGTGCGTACCGGATTACAGGCGTGCAGCCTCTGAGCCTGATCTCAACTGAAGGAATGTTTATTCATATCAGAAAATAGAGGAATAAGAGAAGGAAAACTTTCCAATGGGGAAGAAGGAATTTTCCTGTTTGAACGAGTAATCATAGAAAACACCCACTAATAATGACAGAACAGGGCTGTGTTGTTTTATTGTTTGGTGTTTTTATTATTTTATTGTTGTGGGATTGTGAAAAATTACTCTGACATAACTCTGAGAACTGAATGTGTCAGCGAAGAGCTGAAGATATCTCGTAAATAAAAACGGATGAGGGGGGTTGGTGATGACCATGAAGCCGCAGAGCAGATGTCCTGCACAGATACCCCTCGGTGCAGAGCTGTGGAGGTAGAAGTCCCTCTGGTGGAATGAGCCTTGAGTCCTTCAGGTGGTTGAAGGCCAGAAGACCTAGAAGCTTGTGATATAGTTTCACATAACCAATGTGACAGATGCTGGGAAGATAAATGCTGACCCTGTGATCATTCTGTAGTGAACTAAGCCTCAGGTCAAATCCTGACCTTGAGGGCCTTCCTGGGACAAGAACTGTTATTTCATTGATTTGAGTCCAGAAACACAAAATCAAGTCCATCCAGAGACTTTCTAAGTGTGTCCTGCACTGATCAATTGAAAGAACACTCTCTTTTTTATTATCATTACTATTTTACAAATGTCTTGATAATCAAAGTGTGTTTAGTTCAAACCATTTTAAATGTTGAAGTGAACTACTCATTTCAAATCAACTGTGAAACAGTATTAATGATTTTTAATCCTCATTCAAAGTAGAAATCAAGTTAAGGTCTGTTACAGAGTAATTATTCATTTTCTTGATCTTCTGTCTGAAATGAGCAAGTTGTAAGTCGGTCCAAGGTCGGAGACAAACGCAAACAAGTTTGTTGGAACGAACTGTCATGTTTTTAAATCCTCTCAGACGTAAATAGAGAAGCTGGCACCTGTTTCCTCCCAACTCGCCTAAACATTTCTCTTCTCTGTCTCAAAAACATTTTCTGTCTGTTCCAAAACATTTTTCTGTTTTTCTGACTTCTAGTGACCTCTTACGTCACAAAAACACACCCCTTGTTGGCTTTTTCAGCCAATCAAGACTTCCCAAATGAACCGGAAACAGAACTCTTTAAATGTCGACACTTCCTAGTTCCAACCAGTGCGGTGGGAGAGAACAGGAGGTTCCAGACATGATCCGAAGTTCTTCCGAGTCTCGTGGGAATTATGAAATCTTCCACATCTGAGTGGAACCTCTGACGGACTTATTCCTCATGTGAGTCCACCCGTGAGGTGAACGTGTGTCAAACGAAGTTCCGTCACTACTTCAGACAATTCACAGCTGTTCCTACGGAGACGCTGGAAAGGTGGCGTTAAATGGAACTCCGTACCAGTGGAGACATCTTCTACAGGTAAAGAGTCGATTAATGCTACCTAAGTGTACCGAGGTCGAAGCTGGGATCTAATGGAGAGTGCCGTTCTGATACAGACACATATTCCCTCATCCATCTTCCCATCTCTCTCCATTTAAACTTCATTTCCCATCTTTAAAACTCTTCTATCTTGCCAGTAAATCATCCAGATATTTTCATAAATGTCT